AGAAGCTCCTCCCCTCTGCTGGAAAATTTTAGCAGCTCCCATTGCATTCCAGCGTTAGCATTCTTCACAGCTTCGACTGCAGTGCTGAATGTCTTGATGAAAAGTCTGGATCACTGCATTTGGCTACGAGCGTGGTATGCTCTGAAAAAGAGAGAACCAAACTCCTGTTCTTTGGTGGTTGGTCTCTAGAGTCTGGGTTCTCACTCATGGCAAAGTCTAGGACCCTGGGATGGCCACCACTGTAAAAAACTTTAGAAATGAGAAACTGAGGGGCACCTGGGTGGCTCAGTGGGTTAAAGCCTCTGCCTTCAGCTCAGGTCATGATCCCAGTGTCCTGGGATCGAGCCCCACATCGGGCTCTCTGCTCAGCAGGGAGCCTGCTTCCCCCTCTCTCTCTGCCTGCCTCTCTGCCTACTTGTGATCTCTGTCTGTCAAATAAATAATAAATAAAATCTTTAAAAAAAAAAGAAATGAGAAACTGTAAGATGCTATATTACATAATAGAGGAGTGGGTAAGATCTTTATCATAAAGATAAGAATTCCAGAATATAAAGGCTATAAAAAGTTTAGCAATGCAGAGGCTATAGTGGAAAAATCCCTGCACTGGGGGTTAGAAGGTCTGGGTTTTAGTTCCTAGGATCTGTCTTGACTGGCTGTGTCACTCTGGGGGACATGTTTAGTCTTTCTGGGCTTCATATTCTTCCCCAGCAATGATGAAGAACTGGGACAAAATAATATCTCAATGCTGTCCAGTTCTAAAATTCTAAAATTGTGATTTATTGCATGTTTTCTTTTTGCCAGTCCCTGTGCTAGATAGGAACATAAAAATGAAAATAGCAATAGGGGTTCCTGGGTGGCTCAGTCAGTTGGGCATCTGCCTTTGGCTCAGGTGGTGATCCCAGGGTCCTGGGGTTGGACCCCACATTGGGCTGGGAGCCTGTTTCTCTCTCTCCCTCTGCCTGCTGCTCCCCCCTCTTTGTGCCCCCTCTCTCTGTCAAATAAATAAAATCTTTAAAAAAACATGTTCTTTTTTTAAAGATTTTATTTATTTGACAGAGAGAAATCACAAGTAGGCAGAGAGGCAGGCAGAGAGACAGAGGGGAGGAAGCAGGCTCCCTGCGGAGCATAGAGCCCGATGCGGGGCTCGATCCCAGGACCCTGGGATCATGACCTGAGCTGAAGGCAGAGGCTTTAACCCACTGAGCCACCCAGGCGCCCCAAGAACATGTTTCTTTAAAAAAAATTAAAATAGCAAAAACAGGGACGCCTGGGTGGCTCAGTTGGTTAAGCGGCTGCCTTCGGCTCGGGTCATGATCCCAGCGTCCTGGGATCGAGTCCCACATCGGGCTCCTTGCTCGGCGGGGAGCCTGCTTCTCCCTCTGCCTCTGCCTACCACTCTGTCTGCCTGTGCTCATGCTCTCTCTCTCTCTCTCTAACAAATAAATAAATAAAATCTTAAAAATAGCAAAAACAGTTAATATATAGAATATTAAATTATGTAACATGGATTATATAAACCACTATACATAGTGGTTTTTTTTTTCTTAGATTTTATTTATTTGACAGAGAGATCACAAGCAGGCAGAGAGGCAGGCAGAGAGAGAGAGGAGGAAGCAGGCTCCCCGCCGAGCAGAGAGCCGGATGCGGGGCTCGATCCTAAGACCCCGGGATCATGACCCGAGCCGAAGGCAGAGGCTTAACCCACTGAGCCACCCAGGCGCCCCTACATAGTGTTTTGTTCAGTTCTCAGAACATCCCTGTGAGATTGGGTCTGTCATAGGTATTACCAGTCTTGTGAAAGGACCATTTCTTGGTCCTCCCTCTGCTCCCCTAGATTGGGCCTCTGCTATCCTCAACTGACCTAGGGAGCAGAGATGGTAGAGAGCCATTTCAGCTGCTCTGCAAGAACATTCTTCTGTGGCAACCACTAGGCTGTGGCTGTTAAATAGGAGTGACTTAAGAGATAGAGAGTTTTGGGGCGCCTGGGTGGCTCAGTCAGTTAAGTGTCTGCCTTCAGCTCAGGTCTTGATCCCAGAATCCTGGGATCAAGCCCCACGCCAGGCTCAGTGCTCTGCTGGGAGCCTGCTTGTCCCTCTCCCTCTGTTTGCCACTCCCCCCGCTTGTGCTCATTCTCTCTCTGTCAAATAAATAAGTAAAAAAATCTTTAAATAAATAAATAAGTAGAAATAGAGTTTTTTTGCCCTTTTTCTTAAAAGAACTATTTCTACCGAATAGCAAGACTTATTATAAATCTCCAATAAGTAGGAGATGTGGTACTGGCTCAAAGATAGACAAACAGCCTAAATGAGCAGAATAAAGAGTACAGAAACTGATCCACACACCTGTGGGCACTTACATGACAAAGGTGACGCTACCGTGCAGTGGTGCTAAGTCAACTGGAATGGATGATCATGTGAATAAAAATGTCCTTGACTTCTATTTCACATCATACACAAACATCACTTAAAAGTGGATTGTAGGTCTAAATGTAAAATAATCATACTACTAGAAGATAACGTATGAGAATATCTTCATGATCTTAAGATAGAAGTTTCTTAAACAGGACACAAAAATCACTATAATCATAAAAGAATGAGTAAGTTGAACTACATTAAAAATAAGAACTTCTGCTCTTCAGGATACACCACGAAAAAATGAAGAGGGAAGCTACAAGGAGAGAAGATATTTGCAACATGTATATTTAACAAAGGCTCATATCTAGAATATAGAAAGAATCTCTACAAATCAATAAAAGAAAGGCAGAATGGGCTAAATACTTGAATCGACAGGGGCACCTGGGTGGCTCAGTCATTAAGCATCTGCCTTCAGCTCAGGTCACGATCCCGAGGTCATGGGATCAAGCCCCATATCAGGCTCCCTGCTCAACGGGAAGCCTGCTTCTCCCTCTCCCACTCCCACTTCTTGTGCTCTCTCTGGCTCTCTCTGTCAGATAAATAAATAAAATCTTTTAAAAAAAATACTTGAATAGGCAGGTTATGAAAGAGAGTATCCAAGTGGAAAGGTGCTCAGGCTCAATAGACTTAGAGGAACTGCAAGTTAAAACCCAAATTCATTATCACTTCATACCAACCAGGATGGCTAAAACCAGAAAACCTGACTACACTAAGTTTTGTTTTGGCAAGAAGGTAGAGGATGTAGAACTCTCATTAATTCTCATGGGATACTAAATTGGAAACATCTTTGTAAAACTGTTTTAGAGTACTTATTAAAGTTGAACATATGCATACTCTCTAAGTCAGTAGTTCAGATTCTAGGTATATCCCCAATAGAAATGCATACACATGTTCACTGAAACATACGTACAAGTAGCAGTACAATTCGTTATGGCCCACACTAGAAACAACCCAAATTTCCATCAGTTGTAAAAAAGAGTAAATTGTTGCATATTCATACAATACACTACTAGAGGAATGAGAAGGAAAGAACTGTTGTTTCAGCTAATACATGATGAATCTTACAAATATAATGAATGAAAGAAACCAGACATAAAAGAGAACATAATGTATCATTCCATTTTCATGAATTCTAAAAACAGGCAAATGGTTTTAGAAGTAAGAATAGTGGTTATCAGGTGTGCCTGGGTGGCTCAGTGGTTAAAGCCTCTGCCTTCGGCTCAGGTCATGATCTCAGGGTCCTGGAATCGAGTCCCGCATCCGGCTCTCTGCTCAGCAGGGAGCCTGCCTCCTCCTCCTCTCTCTCTCTGCCTGCCTCTCTGCCTACTTGTGATCTGTCTGTCAAATTAAAAAAAAAAATTAAAAAAAATCTTTAAAAAGAAAAAAAAGAATACTGGTTATCAGTTTGGGGGCAAGAATTTTGGAGTGCTGATAGTGGTCTATTTCTTATTCAGGATGCTTATGATACCAGTATTTTCACTTTGGAAAATTCACTGAGCTGTGTACTCATATATGCATTTTTTTTTTCAGTATGAATATTATATTGCAATAAAATTTTCACGAAAAAAAATTTTTTAAATTTATTTATTTGTTTGATAAATTTGATATTTATTTATTTGATAGAGACACAGCGAGAGAGGGAACACAAGCAGGGGGAGTGGGAGAGGGAGAAGCAGGCTTCCCACTGAGCAGGGAGCCCATTGTGGGGCTCCATCCAACGACCCTGGGATCGTGACCTGAGCTGAAGGCAGATGCTTAACGACTGAGCCACCCAGGCACCCTACTTCTCAATTCTTTTTTTTTTTTAAAGATTTATTTATTTATTTATTTGACGCGGGGGGGAGAGAGAGAGAGAGAGAGATCACAAGTAGGCAGAGAGGCAGGCAGAGAGAGAGGGGGATGCAGGCTCCCCGCTGAGCAGAGAGCCCGATATGGGGCTCGATCCCAGGATCCTGAGATCATGACCCGAGCCGAAGGCAGTGGCTTAACCCACTGAGCCACCCAGGTGCCCCCCTACTTCTCAATTCTTAAAAGGAAGACTAAATGTAGAATTTCAAAGCTAGGAGGGCTGGAAGATATCTAATGCTGAGTTTCCTTGCAACTGATTTCTTTAAGATACTGATTAAAGCTAAGAATTCTTTCAGAAAAATATGCATGCATGTAAAATTTTGCATATAAATTTTGGGGATGATAGACCACTTGAAATCCCTCAATGGGTTCTAGATTAAGAATCTGTTATCTGGCATAACTCCACCAATTTGAAAATTGGGAAGCTGAGGACCAGGAAAGGGGATGAGTCTCATAACAAGTTAATTGCAGAAGATAGTTGCTTGTATTTGTGTTAAAGTAATGCCAGCAATATTCCCTCTCCTTTCGTTGGCTGATGTCACAGCCCAGACTAGCGAGGGAAGCTACCCATTTCTTCCCAAAGGAACTTCAGTTTGAAGGTAAGGTAACCTAAGAGAAAAATGGTGAACAAATTTATTTGAAAGATTAATTTCTTTGATATCAAGATGGGATGATTAGAATTTTTTGTGTAATTCTTTTTTTTTTCTATCTCCTTTTCTCCTTTTGTTTTCTGTTCAGCCCAAGAAGAAGAGGGCAAAAGTGGAAGTGAGACCCATTAATTTGGGGACAGATTATGAATATGGGGTTTTAAACATTCACCTGACTGCATATGACATGGCTGTGGTGGAGAGTTATGCCCAATATGTTCACAACCTCTGCAACCATCTATCCATTAAAGTTGAGGAAAGGTATGAAGGAGGCCTTTGCATGGGATATTCTTGGTGTGAGTAGCATGCTCTGCTTTGTAGTTTTGTATATAAATTTTGTATATAAATGAGTATATTTGTATAAATATATATTTATAAATATATATTTATATATATTGATTACTCAATATATTGATTATATATTTGATTACTGAAATTTATATATATTTATAAATATACATTCTCTCTCTATATAAATATATATAAGTTGTATATTTGTATATAAATGAGGTTTTGAAACATAATTTACATTTGGTAAAATTCACCCTTTTTAGGCATATAGTTTAGCACAATCAGAATACAGAACAGTTCCATTAACCCCAAAATTTTACTGGTGCCCAGGTGTAGTCATATCCCTGGCAATCAACAACTGATTTTCTGTCCTGTTGTTTTAAGTCTCCAGATCATCATGTAAATAGAATCATGCAGTGTGTAGCTTTTTGTGTCTGGCCTCTTTCACTTAGCATAATGTATTTAAGATTCTTCCATGTTTTTGGAAATCTTTTATTGCCGAGTAGTATTCCATTAAGTGGTAGACCTTAATTGCCTTATCCACTCACCAGTTGATGTACATTTGCATTGCTTCCAGTGTATTGGTGATTATGAATAAAGCTGTCATAAGCATCTTCTTGTATGTTTTGTGGGGCATATATCTTTTCTCCTGGATAGCTACCTAAGCCTGGGATTTGAGCGTTGTATGGTGACTGTATGTTTAACTTTATGAAAAGCCAACATCTATTTTCTAAAGTGGCTGCATCATTTTGTTTTCTCACCAACAATGTGTGAGTTACAGTAATTCCTTTTCCTGGTCAGCATTTGATATCATCAGTTATTTTTTCTAAAGCTATTCTTATAGAGTGGTATCTCATAGTTTTTGATTTTCATTTCCCTAGTACATAATGATTTTGAACATCTTTTCGTATGCTTATTTGCCTCCTATATATCTGCTTTGATGACATGCCCAACTCTTTTGTCCATTTTTAAAATTGGGTTGTTTGTTTTCTGATTATTGAATTATGGAAATTCTTTTTCTATTTTTGGATACCAGGTGGTTTTTTTTTTTTTTTTTTACAGTATGTGTTTTGCAAATATTTTCTCCCTGTCTTTGACTTATCTTGTCATGTTCTTAGCTGAGTCCTTTGGAGGGCAGACTTTTTTTAAGTTTGATGAAGTTCAGTTTATAAATTTTTTCTTTTATCATTCATGCTTCTGGTATTATATCTGAGACAGCTTTGTCTAACTCAAGATCACAAAGATATTCTCCTGTGTTTTCTTCTAGATGTTCTATAGTTTTAAGTTTTATATTTAGGTTCATGATCCATTTTTAGTTTTTTTTGTTTTTGTTTTTGTTTTTTTGTATATGGTGTAAGATATGGGTCAACGTTCTTTTTTTCCCTTCATTTAAATATCCAGTTGTTCCAACACCATTTGTTAAAAAGATTTTCTATCTTTATTGCATTGTCTTAGCACTTTTTGAAAGTCAGTTAACCATGCATATGTGGGTCTATTTCTGGACTCCATTCTATTACGGTGATTTATGTATCTAACTTATACCAATACCATATTGTCTTGATTACTGTAGCTTGATTACTGAAACTAATCTTTGTTCTTTTTTTTTCATAATTATTTTGGCTATTCTAGATCCTTTGGCTTTCTATGAAAATTTTAGAATAAGTTTGTTGATTTCTACATAAAGGAAACTGATGGAAACTTATTGGGATTATGGTGGATCTGTAGGTCAATTTGAAGAGAATTGACACTGATTTTGATTCCCCTGATCCATTAACAAGTCATATCCCCCCATTAATTTAGGGTTTCTTTGCCTACTTTGCTTCTCATTTGCTCTTTGGATTTGTTGGAAAACTGTAGGGGAGGAGAACTAACACTTACTGCCTGTTTACTCCAGGCCAGGCACTTTACATATCTTATCTCCATGTTTCAGAAAGTGTGGGATACCCTGTAGTTGACTTTAAATAACATTAAATCACATGGTGAGAAATTTCTTCCCCTTTAACTCTCATTCGACCTAATTATGTCAAGGAGAAATTCTTGTATGTGGATCTGGTATGTCCTTAACACCACTCTCTAGCACTTCCTGATCTTCATAATGGAGAAGGGGCCTCAGACAAAGAGTCTTTGGCTAGCATAGTATCTAGCTAGGATTTTACATTATTTTTTTTTCTTTTCATTATGCTTTTTTTTTTTTTTTGAAGTAAGCTCTAGGCCCAAAGTGGGGCTTGAACTCATGACCCTGAGAACAAGAGTCATGTGTTCTACCAACTGAGCCATCCAGGCACCCCATTGTACTTAAAAAAAAAAATTTCTCTTGATGGCAGCTGATACTGGTCTTCCATTTATTTTCTTTTATTTATTTATTTATTTTTAAGGATTTTATTTATTTATTTGTTTGATGGGGAGAGAGAGCACCAGAGAGGGAACACAAGCACAGGGAGCAGGAGAGGGAGAAACAGGCTTCCTGAAGAGCAGGGAGCCCAAGGCGAGGCTTGATCTCAGGACTCTGGGATCATGACCTGAGCCGAAGGCAGATGCTTATTACTGCGCCACCCAGGAGCCCCTGGTCTTCCATTTATTTATTTATTTATTTATTTTAAAAGATTTTATTTATTTATTTGACACACAGAGAGAGAAATCACAAGTAGGCAGAGAGGAAGGCGCAGCAGGGGCGGGGGGAAGCAGGCTCTCTGCCGAGCAGAGAGCCCAATGTTGGACTTGACCCCAGGACCCCAAGATCATGACCTGAGCCGAAGGCAGAGGCTCAACCCACTGAGACACCCAAGCACCCCGGGTCTTCCATTTATAATAGCAATATAAAGTCAGGCTTATTGAGATATAATTTACCCTTTTAGTGAACAATTTTCTGAGTTTTCACAAATGCACTCTTTTAATACAGTTCACCCGTTTAGTGAACAATTTTCTGAGTTTTCACAAATGCACGCAGTAAATACCATCATACTATAAGATATAGAACATTTACATTATCCCAAGAAGTTCTCTCCTGCTTTTGTAGTTAATCCCTCCCTTTCCCCCCAGTCCCTCACAACTCCTGATCTGTTTTCTGTCCCTATAGTTTTGCCTTTTCCAGAAGGTGATGTAAGTGGAAGTATACAGTATTTTTCCTTTTGAGTCTGACTTCTCTCACTTAGGATAATGTATTTGAGATTCATGTCCGTTGTTGCCTGTATCAAGTAGTTTGTTCCTTTTTGTTGCTGATTAGCATTTCATTGAATGGTTGTATGTTTGTTTATTCGTTCCATGGTTGAAGGACATTTGTGTTATTAGCAGCTTTTGGCAGTTATAAATTAAGCCACTATAAACATGTACAGGTTTCTGTGAAAACATGAGTTTTCATTTCTCTATGTAATTGCTGGGTCAAATGGTAAGTGCAGTGGATTTTTAAATTTATAAGAAACTGCCAAACTATTTTCCAAAGTGGGTATATGTACTGTTTTCTTTCTCATCAGCAACATGAATTCCAGTTGCTCTACAAAAAGTTTATTTTTTTTTATTTTATTTATTTACTTTGGCAGAGAGAGATCACAAGCAGGCAGAGAGGCAGGCAGAGAGAGAAGGGGAAGCAGGCTCCCTGCTGAGCAGAGAGCCTGATGTGGGGCTCGATCCCAGGACCCTGAGATCATGACCTGAGCCGAAGGCAGAGACTTTAACCCACTGAGCCACCCAGGTGCCCCAAAAGTTTATTTTTTAAATTAACTTTTTAAGTGAATTGATTTAAAGAAAAATATTTAATAAATAATCATTTGGGTGGTTTGTCATTGTGTCAAGGTAATACCTGGCACAATATGTGGATATGGCAAGAGTTATACTTTCTTACTCATTAGATAGTAGTATATTCCCATTTTACAGATGAGGAAACCAAGGCTCAGAAAACCCAGAAGTCAGAACCAGTAAGTGGCCTAGATTTAACCCATTTCTGCCTGACTCCAGTATTTTTAATTATAGGTCTTAGTCCTTAAGCTAAGTGTGAACTTTTTTTTTTAAGATTTTATTTATTTATTTGACAGACAGCAAGTAGGCAGAGAGGCAGGCAGAGAGAGAGAGGAGGAAGCAGGCTCCCTGCTGAGCAGAGAGCCTGATGTGGGGCTCAATCCCAGGACCCTGAGATCATGACCTGAGCCAAAGGCAGAGGCTTAACCCACTGAGCCACCCAGGCGCCCCTAAATTTGAACTTTTATAACCTTTATAACTTAGTGTAACTGTGCTAAACATGCTGTCTAGAAGATTGGATAATAAGCTATGACTTTAGCTCTCACAGCTGATAGTACTTCAATTGTTTTAGGACTAAAGATATGCTTTATCTTTTCGTGATGCCCCAGGGAGTTGGTTGCTCTTTCTGTACTTGACACACACTTCTATATGTCACTTCAGTGCTATGGGCTGTAATAACCTATTCATATGTCAGCTCCCCTCCCCACTGATTAGCAAGAACTGTGTTCTTTTTTTATTTCTTTAGCATCTAACACAAGACCTGCCACATGCGGAACATTAAAACCATTGTTGAAAGAGTGACAGATTCTTGAATATGACTGCACAATCCAGTTGTGCGGTATACATGGGATATATTTCCTAAAGTTTACTGGAAGTGCTTTAATTAAAATCAATTAAAAAACTACTGATTGAGCCTTTTCCCACTATGTGGTAGATACTGTACTAGATAGACATCCCAACTAGAGGAGACTGAGGAGAAAGTCCCTGATTTCAGGGAGTGTTTGTGTGTGTGTGTGTGTATGTACACACAGCATAATGTGCAAGGTGGTAAGTGAAGGATAAAGTGCAGTGTCAGTTCAAGGAGGCTGAATAGCATAATAATTTAGAGCGACGCTTCCTCAAAGTGCCACTCTGCAAAGGTATCAGAAGCTTATGCCAAAATGTACATTAGTGCTTTGCGTCCTTCATCCAGAAAGTCTTGTTATTGTAAAAAAAAATGTCTACTGAATTAAATAGCA